CAACATGGGCCAGTGAAGCAACGTCCTCCACAACTAGACTGAAGAACAAAAGAACAGCAACTTGTCTGTTCCCCTTCCCCGATTTCCCAGTGCTGTTCCCACCCCCAATTCTCCAATAAAATCTTTAAAACAACAACAACAAATAAACAAAAAACGTAAATAATAATTTTACATGTTAAAACTTATCGCAGTTCAAATAACTTTTTTTTAAAAATCTAATAGCTCTTCCTTTTCTTTCATTTATGAATATAATGTTGGAAATTCTCTTGTTAATGAGAGTGGACTTTCAATGCAATTCAACTTTTTCATTTAAGTGTTTCCACATGAGGAAGCACTTTTTTCTACATCTCTGGTGAGGTATAATTAATATGCAAAAAAGGTACACATATTTAATGTATATAATTTCATATGCAAAAAACCCCACTTATATATAGAGTTTTGACATGTGCAAACACCCATGATACCATCACCACAATCAAGGCAATAAACATACCCATCACCTCCAAAAATTCCTTTGTGTCCCATTAGTTTTTGGTTTTGGGGGTTTTTTTGTTCATTTTGTTTTATTTCATTTTGTTTTTGGTAAGAACACTTAACATGAGTGTCAATAAGTTAATCAATTTTATTTTTTATCCTCTTAATAAATTTTAATATGGATGGAACTAGAGAATATTATGCTAAGCGAAATAAGTCAGTCAGAGAAAGTCAAATACCATATGATTTCACTTATATGTGGAATCTAAAGAACTGAATAAATGAGTAATGTAAACAGAAATAGTCTCAGGGATACAAAGGAAAAACTGATAGTTGCTAGATGGGATGGGGGTGGGAATGAGGGAGAAGGGGAAGGGACAAGACAATACAAATTGGTGACTACAATATGGCCTCAGGGATAGAAAAGACAGTCTGGGGAATACAATCAATAATGTTGTAAATATTTTTTAGGGGGCCAGAGGGACTCATGTCTTGATAGGGAGACCACTTCATAGACAGTGTAGAGGCCTGACCACTGCACTGTACATCTGAAGCTGCAGTTGAATAATATTATATGTCAACTATAATTTAATACACATATAGCCATGGGGTGTGGAGTATAGTGTGGGAGTGGAGTCAATGGAATTGTAATAGATATGTATGATATCGGGGGTGGGGGAGCAGTGAATGGGGAGAGGGGGGTTGTCACTTTGTGGGAGGGTGAAAATGATTATTATTGCATTGTTTTGTATACCTGAAAATAATAATAATAATAATAATAATAATAATAATAATAATAATAATAATAGATTTTCAGGTGGGATGTCACCAATTTAAAAAAAAAGATTAAAATTTCCTGGTATAAAACAAATAAGTCATGGGGATGTAATGCACAGCATAGAGAATATAGTCAATAATATTGTGATAGTGTGGTAAGGTGTCAGATGGTTGCTGGAATTATCATGGTGATGACTTCTTTAGGTATACAAATGTTGAATAACTGTGGTGTACCCATGAAACTAAGATAATATTGTATGCTAACTATATTTTTAATAAAAATTTTTAAAAGAAAAAAATAAATTTTAAAGGGCTCAACACCATATTGTTAACTACAGGCTCTATATTATGCAGTGGATCGCTAAGGAAGCACTTTTGTGTAATGTGCATATATGCTATGAGCTGTCACCTGGGTGCCACTCAAGAGGCACTTTACTTGCAAGGGGCCGAGTTTGGGGACTGTGCCCATTAGGTACCTCGCAAGCCCCTCTGCCACTGAGGTAGGGGTTGAGTATGGAACACTTCATAAGCTGTGCCCACCGTTGGCAGCAAAACAGCAGGTACTCATGATGCTCACCAGGCAACACCTGGCCGCCCCTAGGAAGGAAGTCTCAGTATCTCACAGGTGACCCAAGGTAAGTACAGTCACGACCATGGCTAGAAAAGCCCTGCTCTCCATCCCCCCTTCTCCAGTGTCCAGCTGGGTGCCTGACAAAGAACTCAAAACATGATTGCTGAATGACAGGCAGTATCCATATTACTGTGCAAATCTGACGCATGTTTTGTAAAACAAATTTCTATGTACAGAAAAAAAAAAGACTAAAGAGAAAGGGACTCCGTTGTAAGTGCTAGGAGTCAAATCACCTCATTCTCTTTTTTAGTTCTTATTTTTCTGAATTTTCTATAATGAACACAAGTTAAAATCAGAAAATAAATGCTATTGTTTAAAAGAAGACATGCTGGAGGGCCATTACTTCCGCTGCAGAGCAGCTGAGAGTGTTGCCTCTTGTGGCATCCCGTGAGTTCTTTTATTTCACTAACGGTCCCTCTGGGGTGGCTAAAGGAGGTTCTGCATTTCACAGGGAAAATCAAATCCATGTTTTCACTCCACAACTTCTTGTTCAGCTCTCTGCTGCTGTGTGATAAGCCATCCCCAAACCTAGTGACTCCAAACAACATTTGATTTGCTCACAAATCTGCAATTTGGGTAGAACTTCCTGGGGAACTCTCTTCCCTGATCCATTTGGCATCAACAGGGGCAGCACCAAAACTGGGACAGAAATCATCTGAAGCCTTATTCCCTCCCAGTTATAGGATGGATAGTGGCTGACGTTTGCCCCTTCATTGGCGCTGTTGGTTGGAATAGCTACCTGTGGCCTCCCCATATGGCCTGGGCTTCCTCACAGCATGGTCACAGGGTTCCAAGGGCGGGTTGCAAAGAGGGAGTCAGACAGAAGCTGTATAGCTTTTTATGATGCAGGCTCAGAAATCACATAGCTGACCTCTTTTGGTCAAGGCAATCATGAAGGAGATAGAACATAATTCAATCAGAGAGAACATAGATCACCTCTCAATGGAGGACTGACATCACATGTAGGCTAGGCTCTGAGATGGACTATGTACTACTGTAGTCATCTTTGTAACACACAATTTGCCAGTCTCGCCTCTGGAAATACCTGCATGATTATGTTCCAGCTCTGTGGCATCTGGACGAGAACAGATATGTCCTTCAGCCCGGAAAGATTGGCACAGGTCGCTGAGCCTTCTGGGAAGTGCTGATCTGCAAGTCACAAAGAAGTCGAAGTCGAAACGAATTAAATTCCAGAAAGAAAAAGTCCTCCCAAGAGCAGACACTGTTTGCATCTCTAGGTGCAAACAGTCCTGCTCTCTTTGCATTGTCAACTTTTTTTAACAAGTTAGGGCTTTGATTTGTTTTAGAGAAAAAGGTTTTGGGTTTAAAAATATTGTTAAGCACTTAATTGTTGGTGCCAGGTGCTCTTTCCAAGTTCCTTTATACAGTTCCTCAATTAACTGAAAATATTTTAAAATTAGATAGTGGTAATGGCTGTATAACTCCACAAATATACTAAAACCCACTGAATTGTACACTTCAAAAGGATAACTTTTATAGCATGTGAGTTATAGCTCAATAAATCTGTTATTTTTAAATGTCAATAATAAGCC